ATATATAAAACTTGGCATTTTTGCTCTAAATTGAAGACTATTTTTTTCCACTAATTTTATTGAGGATTATATAAAAATAACTAATACAACAACATAATATAGAAATACATAAGAATATACATAAGAATATACATTAAATATACATTATATACATTAAAATATACATTAAAAATTAACAAAATGCAGAGTAGAAGCAAAAGAAAACAAAAAGAAAAAGTAGAAGAAAAAAAATTAAGAAAAAATAGAAGAAAGTTCCCTCTTTATCCCCAGCAAGCATAGTTAACATTAACAACTTATCACTGTCTCTTAAAAAACAACCAAATACTTCTTAATTCCATATCTCACCCCATTCTTTAAAAGTCCCTCTCTAAATCTTCAGCTCTCCTTATTAATCAGCAGAAGTCCAATAAGGATAATCAGAAATAACAACTTAATTATTTATATCTCCATTTCCATTTAGACAAATTCCCCCAGTCCCTCTCTTCAAATACAAAAATAACCATCATCATCCAGTCCCAATTAAAAAAAAAATTAATCATCCCCAGAAATAATAACCCATTATTTATAAATCAAAGATAAGAACAGATATGATTAAATAATCCTTTATACCCAATTAAACATTACCAAAGATAGCTGTCATCATGCAATCCTAGTTTAAAAAATTAGACATCACCAGAGATAACAGCCCATTATTTTAACCATAGTCCAATAAACCAATTTCGTATTTTTTCTTCTTTCTCCCAGTGATCTTTAAGTCCCACAAATAAAGGTCTAACATTTGCTTTCTCACATTCTTTGTCTCTTCTCTTGAAATTCTTGTCATCTTCATCAAAGTCCTTTTGTAATTCTAGTATAGTAACTCCAGTAAATCCCTTATATTCCAAGATAAGAAAATAATCCACATTGCTCTTTTGAATTATTATTTGTATATCTTGTTAAATGTTAAGTCATCATCCAATTCCATTTGTAAATTCAATATTTCTATCTCTTTATTTTTAATTCCACCTTAAAGTCCATTTTCAGTTTTATTCAATGGGGCTTGTTCCTCTTCAATACCACCTTTTGATCCCATTAAGGAGTTAAATAGCTGATAAATGTCTGGGACCCAAACATCAAATATTTCCTTTAAAACAGTCAACTGGTGTCCTCTACTGTCCAACCTTCA